ATTTACTTGGATATAGAAAAAGGAAAAAAAAAAAAAAAAAAAAAAAAAAAAAACGTGTCCAAACTCACAGCAGCACCTCTCCAGCAAAGCCACTAGAAGGCAAGCCTGCAACCCTTAGCCAAAAAGCATAACGGCTAATGCTATCGCTTCCACTTTGCCAGTGTGTGGGAAAACAGACCAGAGGCCGTTTTTTTTTTTTTTTTTTGGAATGGATGTCAATGGAGGAGATACTTCACTACGCTGAATAAACAGCTTTTTAGAGGAAACAGCTGATCATTTAATGAATCAACAGTCTATCAGCTAATCTTCAATATATTTTACACTAAACAATACTTTTGGATTGAACAATTTTTAGAGTTTACACCAAAAAAATTGCAGTTTTATAAGAGAAGTCACTGACTTTTTGCGACAGGTGGGATTCAGCTTACGGCACTTCTCATGCATTCCTATGGTATCCGTAAACGGCGACTGAGTGTCGCACAACTCTGACTGAAATTCGATGACGTTAAGGCTTTAATGCGATTGGTTATTAAAGTGCACGTGATCCAAGTTGACCGTTACGCTTTCTCCAAAAGTAAGTAATACAGACCCTCTCATCTCCCTATAGTAAGACAGTCAGTGCGTCCGAAATCGCGTACTGTCTGAGTAGGTACTACATTTGAATTTAAAAGTGCGTTCTATATAGTATGAATAAGCGTAGTATGAATAAAATTCAGACGTACTACATCCGCCATGTTGCTACTGTCACGTGATCCACGTTGCGTCGCTTCACTTCCATTCATAAATTCTCTCCCGTGGCCTCATGGGAGAGTAAACTGTCCATTGAATGTGCACTTCAGAATCAAGCCGGAAGTAGTAGGTTATCCAGGTACTTCTTCTTGCCTACCGTTTTTCGAATACTATGAATTCGGACATACTACTCGGCTCACATACTATATAGTAGGGAAGTATGGGATTTCGGATGTAGTGAATCATTAGGCTAGTTCGACTTCATGCGGTGCCGCAAAGATCGGCTGCCGTCTGACAAAAGTGATGCATTCTGGTTAGAACATTTGTCCGACTTTGATCGGCGCTGCAGCCGCCATACGATCACATGTGCCATCAAAGTACCACGAGAGCAAAACGAGACCAGCCACCTCGGTCAGGTGTTTCAGTTCAAAATCGTCTGTGAAAGCCTTGATGACGACACACTTTATTCTCATTGGTCAGATTATGCGATGACAAGGACAAGGATACAACTTAATAATATTTAAATATCACCTTTGCTGTACATAAAGATTTTCATGCAAAAGCATGGGAATTTCAATCGCATCCACGTCTTCAGCTACAATCAACGTAAAAATCGCGTGGTCTGCCATGAATGACGTTGGTTCAGCACACTACAGAAAGCATGAAGTGTCTGACCTGATGGCAGTCTCTTTAGTCCTCCCCAGCCTGCAACTGGAAGATCTCCCCAGCCGGTGGCAGGCTCATGTTGTTCATCTCGAACAAGCCTTCTGTCTCCATTGTTGTTGACTGTGTGATCGCGTGACCCGAATGAGAGATGGACAGACGAGTGCTGACGTCACAGACCTGTTGCTCTGTCATCTGTAGGAAGGCAGATTTTGCTGATATTGTTGCACTTTGAATGTAATACCTGGAGAAAACTATCCATTCATATCAAATGGCATTTGTTTCTCTGACTGAAGCATGCAATCCAGGAAGTACGAGCCTTTGAAGATGTAGTTGATGAGGAAACATTTGTGTGACTCCAGAGTAGTGTAGCTGAAGTTTCTCCTATAGAGGGCGCTGAGCGCTGGATTGTTTCATTGATTCATTATAATCAGACTAGTGACGTGAGAAAGGAAGTTTTCTGAATTGAATCAACTACAATACACTGGCTGCATCCGAAATCGTATACTTATCTACTATATAGTAGGCGAAAAACTGTATGTGAAAAAAGTAGTATGTCCAAATTCACAGTACTCATAAAAGAGTAGGCAAAAAACACCGGGATGACCTACTACTTCAGGCATGATTCGGAAGTGTGCATACGATGGACAACATAGCAAATGTAGCTCATCCAGATTACATTCATACTAAACACATTCATACTGTATAGAACGTACTCTTTCTGCAGTCCCGAAGTAATGACTTATTCCAAAAAATACCTACTCTAGAGAGTATGCGATTTCGGACACAGCCAATGTTCTGAACACCTGAGGATGCTGAGGACATCTGCTGGTCAAACGCGTGTAAATACAGAGGAAAGACTGAAAACACAAGCTGCAGTACTACAATAAAATTTATTAAATGGGCAATATACAATCTTTAAGTACACTGAAAAGGCAGAATATGTAAAACTTTACAAACAATGAGATTTTACATGATTATATTAGTTTTTAGATGCACTTTTTGTTTGTTGTAAATGAAGTTTTCATACCAATTAATATGGTATTTTTTATGCTTTAGTACACTCAAATAAAATTACAGCATCTTTACAGCTCATCATTTGCAAGTGTCTCTGGATAAAACCAATTGGTAAATTCATTTCTGTAAATCAAGACACTACTGTCAATCATTCAGGGCTCCACCCACAGAGAGACGAAAAAGGCTGTGAAATGTTTTGCCACGTGTCCCAAACACTACGGCTTGTCATGCTGAAAGTAAATTAATACATTAATAAATAATGCACTTAAAATTCCTGGTCAGTATAAAAAGACTTGAATTACTTGATCTTGAAAAGTAAATTATATTGTCTGCACCATATCCTTAGTGAATAGACATTTGATAGTCTAGGTAATGAGTGAAAACACTTACCATTGTATTCTCATAAACAGGTTCAGTCATCTCAACATCACAAGGTCTGGAATGATTAATCTTTGCCATTAAAGAAAAAAAAAACAGAATAGAGAGAAAATTGAATTTAAAAATGTATCAACATACAATAACTCTTAGGTCACCTATAATAATAACAATAATTACATTAGCGTTCATATCAACAGACTATAACAACAACTTACCGTTACATTCTCATATAAAGGTTCAGTCGACTCAACATTAGATGCTGTGCATCTGTCATGATCAGGTCTGGAATGATTCATCTTTGACATTAAAGAAATAGAGATAAAAGTAGAGACAAAATAAATAACTAATGCTTATAAACTCACTATATAAAGTCAGAACTCTTATTTATTGATGAGACTATTGATTACAAAACAATTTTTTCTCACCTGAGTTTCAAGTGTGTCTTTTCTCTTTTTTATCCTGCTTCTCCTTAAAAACAATGAATGTGTTAAATAAAAGAGTAGATAATTAATATATTGTATTATAACAATATCGGACTTGCATTTCTTATATGATAATATTTCATTGGTCAATACCAATTAAATTTTATTCCTAAGATTTTCCAACAATATTAATATGTACAAAAAGTTACCCTTACACATTACATTACACACGTCTTACCAAATAAGCATTGTGATGATAACTGCAGCTCCACAAATCACACCAATAGATATGTACAATATCACCAGACGTCCTACAACAGAGACAAAAGAGTAAAACATCTGAACAGATTCATTTGTTTCACTTTAGAAGGAATCATGCAAGTAAATGAGCTGCTCCACCTTTAACAGTGACAGTAACAGCGTCTGATCTCTGAGATCCATGTTGATTGTGAGCCTCACAGTAGAAGCGTCCACTCTGTAGTGCACTGAAACTCTGTCCAGATCCAACAGCTGAGCTTTGATTCTCCTTAAACCAGCTGAAGTTCAGAGCAGGAGGGTTTGAATCACTGCTGCAGATCAGAGTCACTGAATCTCCCTCCACTATTTCACCAGATCCAGTTATGGACACTGCGACACTCCTGGGAGGATCTGAAAAAAAAAAAAAT